CAACCAAATTGCAATGGCCTCCAACCTCATTGCGATGGCCTCCAACCTAATTGCGATGGCCTCCAACCTAATCGCGATGGCCTCCAACCTATTTGCGATGGCCTCCAACCTAATCGCGATGGCCTCCAACCTAATTGCGATGGCCTCCAACCTATTTGCGATGGCCTCCAACCTATTTGCGATGGCCTCCAACCTAAATGCATAGCGGCCGCGGATGAGGCGACTCTGAAGCCCAAAGGCTGGCGATGGTGTCTTCCTTGCTTCATCGGACCACCAAGCTTCAGAGGCTGCGGCTTCCTCCAGAAAGGAGTCTCGACTCAGAATCAGAAAAATTACAGCATCACAGCATGGACCAGCACTGTGGTGCTAAATGTGTCTGTTTTGTCCTCAAGGGTCTCTTTGGGTGTTTCAGTCATGCCCTTCTTGTTCGAGACTTGGTCTATCGCCTGGCGCAGGAAGGGCACACTCACTCCTTGCCCCGTCTGTGTTCCAGGGATGGCCTACTACGGGATTTACAAGTATCAGGGCTTAGCGGCTCATCACCCGGCAGTGTTGGAAGGCTGTAGGCAATTCTTTACGTGTCTACTCTGTCCCTTGCTTAAACATATACGATTGTGCCACTGGTAACCTGCTTGCATTAGCCCGGAACCAGTCTTGTTGCAACTCAGGAGTTTGGTGGTCTTTCTGCAACTCCCTCACAGCGAGTGCAGGGACAGCCAGTGGTACTATGAGCACAGCCGAAGACTCGTACAGTGCAGCAGCCTGTTGCTCCTCCAGTTTTGGCCTGAGGGTGAAGCACAGAAGTGGGCTGAGGAGGTGCACTTGGAAAGTGGGCTGAGTCCCTCAGCGTTGACCTCCAACGCTTTTTTGGAGGATGGGTAGGCCTTGAAGAGGTAGGGGTCTCAGCTAAGAAGGGGAGATATCACTGAAGGCAAATCAAATAATTCAACTATACTAAGTTCCTGCCTGACGCGTCTGTTTCTTCTTTCCTGCCCTAAATTCATTCCAATCTCAGGCGCCAACTGCAGTTCTTCAGCCCGGCTGGGCTCAGGCGGCTCAGGCTCCGCTGGCTGAGGCACCTCAGCTGACGTCGACTGTCGGCACACGGACCCTTCAGTGGACTTGGCCTCGCACGCTTCGTAAGAGCTCTTTGCCTTTCAAGCTAATGCTGACCTCAGATCGAGGTATAGGACTATGCCAACGCATAGCAATCTCAAAAACTACCGTAACTAGCGGTAGAGCGAGGGCACAGTGTTTCAATCACGGCGCGCTATTCGGCCTTCTGCCAAGCCACCCAACCAGTTGGCGGCCCTTGTCCAGTGATTAGCTGATAACGAACTCGTTCGCCAATCTTCTCCAGCTCATCAATGACTCAAGCAAAGCTGATCGAGCTGCTTTCCGATCCAAATCTTTCAGAAGCACTAGATCCACTGATATTTACAAACATGGATAATAGACTTTAAGAAAAAATACTTAAATATCTTTGAAGGAAGCTAATAGCGATGGCCTCCAACCTAATGGATGGCCTACAACTGAATAGCAATGGCCCTCAAACCCAATAGCGATGGCCTCCAACCTAATCAAAATGGCCTCCAACCTAATAGCGATGTTAGTCTTGATTACAGCACTTGTTGTTTTAACACCATGTTTGGCCTTTCTATATTTGATGGGACTCCAGTTTGGAAGAGAGACAAGGCCAAGATTCTGGAGCCAGTTGCCAACCGATCTTCCAACCTTAGGCTCTGTGGGCTGCCCTTGTAACTTTCAACCCTGCACCCTTTCTTGCAAGTCAAGCAAATAACATACAATTGATGCACAAGCGATGCCTGCCCTTCAAGCCTTTGGCTTTGAAACCCTGCTTTAACACGCAAAAGGTCCAAGCAGCTGTGTCGAGCTGGTGCTCTGCCCATCTCGCACCAAAACTCCGCCCTTGTCACTGCCACCGACAACTTCCCAACCTCAGGTTGCATCCACTGATATGTACAGTACTTGTTTAAAGCACAACCTCATCAAACCTCATAAGACATGCTGTGGTTTCTTGAAGACACTCAGAGGCTTTCTTGAACACCTGAAAAGAGGCTTTCTCGCTTGAAAATTTTCAAAGGCGCTAAGTTACACAAAACATCAAACAACAAGTCTGAGCAATCCACGGCAGCTGGCGGCCATGCCCCAGGTCCATCGCGGTGCCGAGAGCCGAGAAGAACTTGCACTTTAGATCTAGAGTTGCTTCGTGTGGTCTGGGACAACCGTCAACGTGAAATTAAACAAAGCCTTGGCCCAAATGTGCATCAGGCAGTACGAGATTGTAAATATGTATATATAAAACTCCCGCATGTGAGTCTCTGCAGGTCTTGTGATTGCTACTAGGGTGGAGGCCATCGCTATTAGGGTGGAGGCCATCACTATTAGGTTGGAGGGCATCACAATTAGGTTGGAGGCCATCGGTATCAGGGTGGAGGCCATCGCTGTTAGGTTGGGGGCCATTATTATTCATGGTATGACTATGACTATGACTCGACTCTGACTCGACTCCTTCGCCAGGTCTTTGTGACAATGTGCTGTGTGCTCTCAGCATTTTGTTGGGGCGTCCAGACGCTTTGCCCTACAGCAATCAGTCGATGTTTTTACATCGAAGGTCAGTATTTGCTATCATTAATAGAGAGCAGCTATGCCAGCGGGAAGTGAGCAGCCTCAAAACAACAATGGCAAAGTGACAGCAACACAAACAGGATGTGGCCTTCTTGATCGTGCGAGGAATCCGCTGTACGCGCCTGATGAGATGCGCTCGCGACAAGCCCAATCCCAAGCAAAATCTGAGTTGCAACGAAAACAAAACAAAATAAGTTCATTGTGTTTGGATCTCTGAGTGCGTTGACAAACATGCGCGGCACCATATGCGACAAAAAATGCTTACAGTAGTTCTCAAAAGTTCTTAAGCTGCTAAGGCTTGGTCGGCCTGCATCCTCAAAACGGTCCGCTTGTCAAAGGGTTCTCAAAGCTCATCACAGCGTCCAATGCGAGTGCCTGAATGAAGCACCGAATGCTTCAAGCGACAAAGAGCCAAAAGTAGCTGAAGCGGCCTGGAATGCCATTTTGCCAATGACCCACCAAGGGTGCGCACCCCTCCAGATTGGGATTCTCCTGCCAACAACTTCAAAGGAATAAAAAGCGCAGTTTGGCCCACTTGCCCCATGTGAAAAAGGACATCTGAGAAAAGGATGATACAGTACAAAGGCACGACGATCCAACATGGGACTCCAGTCTTGAACCACACAATTACACCCAAACCAAGTATGGCAATGAGATCGGTTGAGTGCACAAAACAAACATGTATATAATTTGGGTCTATCCTATTACCTGTAACAGTGAATGATGATGGTTAGTAAAGGCCTTGTACAAAAAATGATGATAATCGTTTACTAACTGTTACAGGTAATAGGACAGACAGACCCTATATATAATCATATGCAATCAATTGTTAGTGTTGCACTATGTTGCTATTAGGTTGGAGGCCATCACTATTAGGTTGGAGGCCATCACTATTAGGTTGGAGGCCATCACTACTAGGGTGGAGGCCATTGCTATTAGGTTGGAGGCCATCGCTAGGTGTCGGCCCAAGCGCCTCTCAGTTGGTGCACCCAGGCTGGCAAACGGCTTGGGGGGGTAGTCCGCCATGTTCGATCCAGAGCCATGGTTGGTAGATGCTGGCACTGCCCCTTTGGCGATTTCTGGAAAAGCCTGGTTTTTTGACGAGGAGGCCTCAGGATATCGATGCACATCCTTGCTCCACGGCCAGGCCTTCCTGTTGCAGGGTACAAAGCTGGTGACCGACAAGTTCACTGCCATAGGAGCTACAGTCTCTGTGGTAGAGGGGATCCCGCATGTTGATGCTAGTACAGCAGTGGTCAAAGAACATCCCATGGTCTTCAACAAGGCCGCTACAGAAGTGATCGATGTCTGCTCAGGCTATGGCATCATGACCGCTGGGTATTGCTGGATTGATAGCAAGGTTCGATGCCACGTCGAACTGAATGCAAAATATGCTGCCTGGCTTCGTGACACCGGAGCCCAAGTCATTGAAGGTGACATTGATAGCCTTGCAGTACAGCAAGCCCTTGTCCCCTACACGAGCACGCCATGCATTATCACTGGAGGTTTTGCGTGCCAACCTTTCTCACAGTTGGGGAATAAAAGACAACAGCTGGACCCACGTGCTAGAAGCTTCGAGGGTATGTTGATGACATGCTACCTGCACCAACCGTTGGCAATGATTTTGGAATGCACAAAAGAAGCCATGGCATCCTCTTGGGTTCAAGGTACGCTGCAAGCTTTCTGCAATCGTACTGGGTACACATTCCAACAACAGATATGCCATTTGCAAGAACTATGGCCAGCGAAGAGGACAAGGTGGTGGGCTGTTTTGGTCCACCCCATGGTAAAGATGCCGCCACTGCGAAGCTTTCCTGCACTGGAGTTCACACCGTCCTTCCGCCATTTGTTCCCCAAGCTTGCTGACTGGCCTCATTCCGACCTACAGGAACTACGCCTGTCAGCAAATGAGTTGGAGGTGTTTGCAGAGCAACCAGGTGGGTTGGGAAGCAATTCGGTCAGCCCCACAAAACCGCTGGCTACTGCGCTTCATGCTTGGGGATCACAACTGCAAGCTTGTGCATGCGGCTGTCGAGCCGGGGGGTTCACGCCCAAGCGACTGGAGGAAAAAGGACTTTATGGAGCATTGATCCCAATGCCAGGTACCACCAAGGTTCGTGGCCACCAAATCGCCAACATGAGGCATGTTCATCCTGATGAAGTAGCCATTTTGCATTTGGTTCCCACCCGGTACATCCATCAGGGTAAGGACAGATACCTCAGGCTGGACCTCACTGCTCCCAGGACGTGCTGTTCGGACACAAGGGAGGGAACCGGACACATGAGGCTTGGCAGCTGCCAACCGGACATATAAAGCGTGTCAGCTGGCCCACGCCAAGATAGGTCTTTGGGACTGTCAGAAAAAGGAAAACGTGGTGTAGGTTTAGACCAATCCAGGACACATCCCAATAAGGGACCGTCAGACAAAAGAAACAAAGAACGTGGTGGGGGATCACTCGAAGCTTTTATATCTTTTAAATATATACTTTTTGTTTGATGTACGAAACACCCTAAACCCACAACACACACACACACGTGTCGATCGGGAGGAATTGAAAAACCAACCGCTTTTTTTTATCCGTGCGTGTTCACGGTGTGCTTCGATGAAGTGGGCAGCGGTTCCAAATCCTCAGCTGCTCCGGATCAAGATGGACGCCCGCGAAACGAAGATTCGAGACCTGTCTTGGGCGATCTACACCGGCTTTATAAAGCCGGATGATGGGGAGTATCTCCGTATGACTGGGTCCATAGTGTCATACAATAGTCTTCGGGTGAAGAAGACAAGGGAAGCGTTGCGGCTCATGCGCGAAGCGGTCGACCACACTTTGGAGACCCGCATTTGGACCAAGGCAGCGCTGCGAGATTCCCTTAAACACATGGTGAGGACACGTTTCTTGGAAATTCCACTCACAAATGGGTTTAGCTTCAACGATTGGTTGAAAGAACAGGTTAACGTACTCCACCCTTTGGCACAAAAAGCTCGCAAAAACGCTTGGTTGACCAACCAGCTTGCCAGCATGGACAATCTTGAAACCCAGCCATGGCTCCCTGCTGAGCACCAGGACACTGCTATGATTTTGTGACAGCCAACCGGTTTCCTGAAACCACGTTAACTATGTTCCACATAATCTACAATAAAGTTTAACGTTTTGTTTCAGGATGTGTTGTCGATCACTTTTTTGGGGGGGGAGGGCATCCATTGCCTTTTGATCTCTGCGGAGGATCACGATTCCCAATGGGACGTTTTCGCTGGTGGGTGTGTTGATGGATCCTCTGCGAATTCCAAGGAGGAGTCTTGGACAAGAACCGATGCCGGTTTTGATGCGTTCGGATTCTTATGTATGGACCCTTCCGTAAAAAGAAGTACATAAAAGCGCAAACACGTTCAAAACACCCCGGCGCCTACAAAGCTGCAAAGACACCAACAAATTGTTCACACTATTTATTTCACACAAAACTCCAAAGAGTCTAGAACATATTCTCACTCCACTCTGGAAACACTGTTCTTGTCGATTGTCCAGGTCATGTTTTCCCACCGTGTGCCCTCAGGAAACCGCGATCGATCCTCATGGCATATCTTCTGGGAAGGTTTCTTGGGTTGCATTTTGGTTTGGGCTTCTCCCTCTCAATCTCCCCATTGCCTTCGAACTTGGTTTGGGTGGATCTTGTGTTTCACGCGCGTGCGTCTTTCCCGATCATTGCCCAGGCTCTTCTGGACAAGGGCATCGCGGATATGATTCCTGGTGCCTCAGATCGCGGAGCATCCGAGGACTGGATTGGCAGGTGACACACGATACATATAATTTTCAACCTGCCTTATCCTTCAAGGACGCATATAAGACTATTCATGAGAAGGATGGACCTGAATCTCCAAATGTATTCTGGCATAGTTTCAAGCGTCGTAAAAACCCATTGGCTGAACTTCAGCGAGTCAATGTGGTTTCAACATGAACATGGGAAAGATTGGAAACTGCTGCAAATCATTTTTGTATGAGAGGTTTTTTGTCGACCACCCTTTCCTCTTTAAGGTTGCAACTGCATCCACAACTTCCCCAAGTTCTGCTGAGCAGTCAGTGGTATGGACATCCCCAAACAGCTATGACTATGACTACACTATTGAGCGTGGACCAGAGACTTTGGAGGGACAGGGGGATGAGGACTGGTGTGCGCCTTGGTGGGAATGGCCGGACCACGAGATCGAAGCTCTCGAGCGGGAGGAATTGGAAGAAGTGGTTGAGTTGGCTGGCACCCATCCTCTTTTGGATTGGTACTGGGGTGAAGTTCGGGAAAAAACCGGTTTCCATGACCTGCCGTTTGCTGACTTTGACTATGGGGACCCCTTGGAAGATATCAAAGGGTTTGCAGCTTACATCCGCCCAAGAGCTACATGGTCGGACCAGGAGGGGTGGTTGTACGCAATGGGTGTGGAGCAGCAGGAAACGCAGGAAAGCCGTTCCGAGCGTGATCCTCGATGGGATGGGTGTGAAAAGTTTTCCATCGAGCGGGGTGGCAACACCTTTCACTGCACGCCTGCCAACTGGACCCCTCCACATGGAGTCGATGAGTGTGAGTGCGAAGAGCTTTCTCCAACGCAGCAATTAGGCAGCGTTTGGGATGACAGCATCGGGTGGGATGGGGACCATGAGCAGGCAGAACTGCAGGAACAGCAGTGGGACGGAGACCATGAGCAGGCACAGGAACAGCAGTGGGATGGGGACCGTGAGCAGGCAGAATGGCAGGAACAGCGAGGAGAGGAATGGTGGGGTGAAAACTATTGGTGGGAAGAATCGGATGAAAGCGAAATGGAAGGGGATCCGGGTTTGCAGGACAGCGCTCATGTCCAAACACCACCAACCGGAGCCAGAACCCCCAGAAACCAGAAACATGACAAGAACCAACAGAACAAGTCTGCGCTTGACGCCAGTGTCCGATACTCACCGATTACCCCTGAAGGTGCGAAGGCATTTGTTGAGAAAGCGTGGTCTGGCAAGGTGTCAGATTCTAGCCAGCCATGCTCGTCTTCAGGCCCACATGAGCTGCAGGATAGTCAGGGCATCGACATGCCCACGCCTCGGGATCTAGTTGCAGCTCAGCTTGAGGAGGCGCTGGGTGATGCGCCTACTGAGACTCTTGAGGGCGCGCTCTCGTGTGAAGCTGTGCACGGTATGTCACTGACTGATCACATGATGTATGTGCGCTGGTTTGACTCGCCATCCGCATACAAAGCGAGAATGCCAGCAGGGTTGTCTACACGCTTGTGGGGGGGAGCTCAAATGCATCTTTAAGATGTACCATGCCTACAACGTGGAGTGTCCGAGAGATGTCTTGTTTGCCTTGAAGCAGGAATATGCTCGTCAGTGAATTGGCTTACATTAGGGGCAATGTTTTGGTGCCTAGATTAGATTTCAAGAGTTTGTGAACTCACTGAATCCGAATTTGGACTCAAGTGTCAATAGACACACGCAGCTAAACTTGATCAGGATCGGTGTGGA